GGGGGGCTGCTGGGGGGATGCTGGAAGGATTCTGGGGGGGATGCTGGGGATTCTGGGGTCACACTCACAGCGTCTTGTGGGTTTTGACATGGGGGCGCAGGCGGAGGCCGAGGGCCCGGCAGCGCTCCCGCATGCACTCCGCGTTACGCCGCACCGTCGCCTGGTCCAGGGTCAGCGCCGGGGTGGGCAACTTCTCCAGGGGGGCTCCCAGCCACACGCTGCTGCTGCTGCGGGGAGGGGGCAGGGAGCGGAGGGGGACACCTGCCCTCCACCCCCAAACCTGCACCCAGCCCCATACCCAGGCATGCACCCAAACCTGCACCCACCATGCACCCACCGTACCCCCCAAACCTGTACCTACCATGGTCCCCCCCCCAAAATAACGTGCACCCACCCCTGTGGGCTGGCGTGGGTCCCTGCTCCCTGGGTGGGGGCTGGGGGCTGGTGGGCTGAGCCCCCCCCAATGAGACCTGGCACCGAGGGGTGGTTTGGGTGAGGACGGTGCTGGGGCAGCTCAGGGGGGGTCCCCCCCAACTGGGCACAAACCCAGGAGGGCTGTCCCTCAGTCTCAGGTGAATACTGGGACTGGGAAACTGGGGAGTGGGACACCTGGGTCACCTAAGACTGGGACACTGGGAACAGGGACAAGTGGGACTGGGAAACCTGGGAACAGGGACATATGGGACTGGGTCACCTCGGACTGGGACATCTGGGACTGAGGCACCTGGGATAGGGACCTGTGGGTCACCTGGGACTGGGACATATGGGACTGGGTCACCTGGGACTGGACACTTGGGAAAGGGACATATGGCACTGGGATATATGGGACAGGGACACCTGGGACTGGAATATATGGGACAGGGACACTTAGGACTAGGATCTATGGGAATGGGAAAGCTGGGACTGGGATCTATGGGAATGGGAAACCTGGGACACCTGGGGTAGGGACACACACACCAGGAACAGGGACTCCTGGGACAGGGATTCTTGGGACAGGGACACTGGAAACTGGGAGCCCTGGGCCCAGGACGTGGGGACAGGGGACACCCCCGTCCAGCCTCAGGTGGGACGGGGACACCCAGGGTCTCCGGCAGCGGGACCTCGGTTTCCCCCCGCCCCACCCGGGATGGCCACTGCAAGGCTGTCCAGGGCGAAATTCCCGGTGGCAGCCCGAGCACCCAGCCTTCCCCCCCCACCCACCTGTCCATCCGTCCGTCCATCCCTCCGTCCGTCTCTACAGCTCTTCCCGGCTCGGCTCTCTGGTGGCTCCGGTTGTGCCCGTTCCACGTGATGCCGTGGGCACCCGCAGCCAGCCTCGGCTGGGGACAGAGGTCACTGCCGGCCGTGGGGCCTCCCCGGGGGTGGCAGGAGCAAGGGAGGACACGGACACCACGGCCGGGGACGCTCGGCCTCCCCGGGACAGACTGCCAGCTCCCCGGGAACGATGGCCAGCTTTGGAGCCCCGTGCCCGTGGAGGGACAAGGAAGGAGGGCTGAGACCTTGCGTGCTCATGCTATGTGTGGATGGGGGATGCTGAGACACACACCACCCCCCCCCCAACGCCATGCTGGTGACACACGGGTGCGTGGCTGCTGAGACCTGGCACGTTCAGGACACGTGGGCACAGGGTTGCTGAGGGCTGAGGCCGCACGTGCTCGTGACACGTGCGTACACGGCCGATGAGAGCCCAGCTGCCCCGAGTTTGTGACACGGGGCGGGGGGGGGTGCACGGCTGCTGAGACCCCCCACGCTTGTGACGTGTGGGCACACTGCTGCTGAGACCACCCGACGCTCGTGACACGGGTGCACAGCTCCTGAGCCGTCCCACCCTCATGAGATGTGAGTACACGGCTACTGAGACCCCCCTCCCCCTTGTGCCCATGACACATGGGTATACATCTGCCGAGACCCTCACGCTCGTGACACGTGGGTAGACAACCACTGAGACCCCCCCCCCGTGGCTCGTGACGCGTGGGTGCACGGCCGCCGAGACCTCCATGCTCATGCCACATGGTTGTATTGTTGCTGAGACCCCCCCACCTCCATGCTCGTAACACGTGGGTACGTGGCTGCTGAGACCCCCCACGCTCATGACATGTGGCAACAAGGCTGCTGAGACCCCCCACGCTCATGACACACAAAGACACAGCTGCTGAGACACCCCCCCCGGCCCCGCATTCGTGACACGTGTGTCCCATGTCCCAGGCTGGCCGTGTCTCGCTGCCGGGGGGGCCCCGCTGGCCCCCAGCCCGGAGCAGAGCCTGTACTGGGACGGCCCTGCTATGTAGGGCAGACAGAAAGGGGGGGACACACACAGACTGGAGAGGGGGGGGACACGGGAGAGGGGGTGTCACCTCCCCCCCCAACTGGCGCAGAGCAGACAAGGGCCTTGCACACATTTATTTCCCATAGATATATTAATTTTTTCTTTTTTTTTTTTCTGTAAAAGATCTAAAAATGGATAGAAAAAAAAAAAAAAAGTGGGACACACACACACACCGGCCGGCTCCTGGCCAGCGGGTATGGCAGAGTGTGTGGGGGGGGCAATGGACGTGGCACCCCCCTTCCCAGCGAGGGGTCCCCCGCCTCCTCCTTGCGCCCGTCCCTCCGTGGGAAGGGGGGACGCGTCCCCCTAAAATTTGGTGGGGGGGGTGTGGTGGTGTGTGTGTGGCAATTCTGTGCCCCCCACCCCACCGGGGGCTGGATAAGGCCACGGGCAATGGGCTGAGCAGGCAGCACGGGGCTCTCCGACCCCCCCCGGGCTTTGTGGGGCGCAGGGGTCCCCCCTTCTCTCTGTGCCGGGCAGAGTGGGGGGGCCCACGGGGCACCCTGGGTGGGTGGTGGGTGCCAGCCTAGGACTTGCCCTCGGCGGGGTTGTACTCCGTCTCGCCAGCTGAGACCTGGGAGATGCGCCGCGTGGAACGCCACAGCCGCCGGTGGAACTGGCCCGGCCGCACCTGGGGGCGGGGGGGGGGCAGGGGGATGAGCACCCACCCGATGTCCCTGGCCCCTTCCCCGCCTTCCACATTCACTTCTGAATCCCAATTCTCTTTATGCATCCCCATTCTCATCAACTTCTCCATCCCCATTCCCTTCCAAATCCCCGCCCTCATCCCCTTCTCCACCTGATCCTCTTCCAAACATCCATCACCCCCAGCCCCTTCCCCATCACACAACCCCTTCCAAACCCCATCCTTTGCTCCATCCACACTCATCCCCTTCCCCTTCCAAATCCTTATCTCCATCCCCTCTCCCATCCCCTTCCCCATCCGCACCCCCAACTCTTTCCCAACCCCTTCTTCATTGCCATTCACCCACCACCCCCTTCCCTATCTCCATCTCCTCATCCCCTTCCCCATCTCCTCATCCCTTTCCTTTTCCCCATCTCCTCCTCCCCATCCACCTCCATCTCCACCTCCATCTCCATCTCCTCCTCCCCATCCACCTCCATCTCCATCTCCTCCTCCCCATCCATCTCCATCCCCATCTCCATCCCTTCCATCTCCTCCATCCCCACCTCCACCCTTTCCCATATCTCCTTCCCAATATCTCCCCCGTGCCACCCCATGCCACCCCTGTCCCATTGCTCTGGAGACCAAGGAGGACAAGCAGAGGTCCCCAAGCCCAGCAGCACCCAGTGGACACCGAGGCATGACCCCGCCCAGCCACACATCACCGCCTGGGGTGGGGATCCACGCTCACCTCAGCAGGCTGCCCGGCTCCCACCACGATGAGCTTGCCATCCTCCAACCCCACCAAGATGTGACTCTTCTCCTTGGTGACGGACACGCTGTGGATGGGCACCCGCATGGGCACGGGGGGCACAGCCGCCCTGAGGCTGTGAGAAGACGAGTGGTGGGATGGGACCCCTTGAGCCCCCCCTAGGGCACCCCAAGGGGGTGGTTGGGGTGGGACAAGGTGGGTGGTAGCCCTCACCTCTGGAGGTCACGGATCTCCAGCCCGCACTGCATGGTTCCCAGCACCACAAACTCCTCCGTCAGACACATGGCCGTCACCTCCTCGTCCAGCGGGACGGAGGAGAGGTGCTTCCCGTTCACCGAGTAGAGGTGCAGCGCAAACCTGTCCTGAAAGACAGAGCGAAGACGGGGGGGAACACACGCGCTGATGGTGACGAGGGGGAGGACACGGGGACACCCGGCCATACCTTCAAGCAGGCTCGTTGACCCACAGCGGTTTGGGCGACCACCTGCCCCTCCGGCCCCACGGCCAGGTGGGAGAGGACGGCGGGTGGTGAGGTCTCGCCAGGCGGCCGCAGGGACCGAATGAAGAGACCCCGGCGGATGGTGTGGATGATGATGGTGCCATCCTACAGGAGGAAGGGGACACAAGGCGATGATGGTGGCACTTCCCACCCCGCCGCCCACCCCACCACCCCAGCTTGCTCACCTTGGAGCCCGAGACCGCCATGTCCAGCTCGGTGCTGATGGCCACGCACGTCACCTCAGCGTCGTGGCCGTACAGGACCTGGATGGGTTTGGGAGCCAAGCCGCTGGAAAACCCACCCTGGTGTTGGGGACATGGGGACCTCAGTGACCTAGTGGCAGTGCCCACCGTGAGCTCCCCTCTGGCTGGAGCGTGGGGTAAGGGTCAACCTCCTACCTGCTGTAGGACCTGCCACACCATGCAGGTGGTGTCCCGGGACCCAGAAATGAGGTAGATGCCGCAGAGGTCAAGCGCCAGGCAGGTGACAATGTCTGTGACACCCAGAGGGACACCGTGAAGTGCTGGTCCCATCCCACCACGCTCGGCACCCCGACCCCGTGGGACGGCGCCAAGATGCGTTTTGGAGTGTGGAGATGCTGCTAACCCAACCCCACTACGGCTCTGAGATGGAGCCTGGACTGTCCCCAGAAGATGGGAGACACTGGGAGATGTCCCCTGCCCGCTCACGTGTCCCCTGCCTCCCCCCATGGCCCTTACAAACCCACTGGGGCACCATCGGACCTTCATCGTCGGAGGAGGATGTACCTATGTGCCGGGTGATGTGCCCAACGACCTTCCCTTTGGCCAGCAAGGTGACGCGGAGGCTGTTGTCCCAATGTCCCCCACTGAAGAGCAGCTTCCCATCGGGAGACACGGCCAGCGTGCGGGAGCAGAGGTCTGCGCCGGGGGCGAAGGGGCCCTGCAGGAAGCGCTGGGTCCTGGTGGGGAAGGACACGGGACGGTGGGAGAGCCGTGGGTGGGCTGGTGGCACCTCCGGGGACCATCCCTGGGGACCACGTGCCCGACTCACTTTGCGTTGGAGACGGTGGGGTCTTTGGTGAAGCTGAAGTAGTTGGAGATGTTCTTGTCGTAGGGTAACCAGTTATGGGTCCCCAACAAGCCATTGGCACTCACGGTGACCTGGACAGAGATGGAGATGGAGGTGACAGAGCTCCCACCACTGAAGTCCTCCTGGGGTTTGGTCCCGGTCCCCCTGGGCTAGCAGCATGCACCCATGCCTCAGTTTCCCTGCGCTCACCAGGACGTCGGGTGATCCCTGAGTGATGAAGGAGTGCGCCTGGTTCTTGGGGACCACGGCTTGCACCAGGGCCACCCCATCGCTGATGCCCTGTGGGGAGACAGCAACCAGTGGGCACCCTCCTGGCCACCACCAAAACCCCCCAGTCCTGGCCAGGGACCCCCCTCCCGGGGTTGTCCTCACCTCCACAAAGAAAGACTTGAGCTGGTCCAGGTTCTCGAAGACGTTGGGCGACCGGGTGTCGAGGCGGGCCAGCCTCCGGGCAGCGCTCTCTGCTGACAGCCGGGCAGGATGAGGTTCCTGGAGGTGGGGGGGGGGCCGAGGGAACCCATGAGAAGGGGGGTGCCCCCCCCAAAAGGGGCTATTTTTTGGGGGTGGGGGTAAAAGCTACCTTGAGCAGCTGGCAGGGTGTCTGCCCAAAGTTGCTGATGATGCCCTCCAGAGCCTTCCTCTGCGTCTCATCGGCAATGGCGTCCAGGTCCACGGCCCCTGGGGATGGGGATGGTCATGGGGGGCCACCTGGCAGGCACCCCCCGACTTCCCTGCCCCACGGCTCACCCTCATAGGTGCAGTAGTAGAAGACATTGAGGGCCTCCACGGCGGCCGGGCCCCGTTGCTTGTACCCAAAAATGAGGTCGATCCACTCGTGGAGGTGGGCTGAGACATACTCTGACTCCTGTCCAAGGATGGGGCATCAGGGTGGGCCAGGAATGCCCACCACCCCCC